TTATCATTTTGATCTTTTTTATTTTCTACTGTATAAAGTTCACATCATCATCATCCTCTGACATCACACATCATCATCATCATCATCATCATCCTCTGACATCACACATCATCATCATCATCATCGTTATCCTCTGACATCAATTCAATTCAATTCAATTCAATTTTATTTGTATAGCGCCAATTCATAACAGAAGTTATCTCAGGACACTTTTCAAATAGAGCAGGTCTAGACCGAACTCTTTAACATTAATTACAGAGACCCAACAGTACCACCATGAGCAAGACCTTGGAGACAAGGGCAAGGAAACACTGCCTGTTAAAAGGCAGAAACCTAGGACAGATCCTCCGGCTCTAGGTGGGTGGTCGTCTGTCTCGACCAGTTGGGGTGAGAGAGAGAGAGAGAGAGAGAGAGAGAGACAGACAGACAGACAGACAGACAGACAGGTGCACAGCAACAACAGTAGCAACAACTACACTAATAGTAGTGACTGATGATGAACATGAGGAAGATGATGACGATGACAACAGCAACGATCACACATCATCATCATCATCATCATCCTTTGACATCACACATCATCATCATCATCATCATCATCCTTTGACATCACACATCATCATCATCATCCTCTGACATCACACAGTGGATATAAACATTAAACATCTTTTTATATCAGACATTAAAATAATTTTTTTTATTAAAACTTTCCAGCAGCAGATTTATTGATTTATTGATCAGATGAATACAAACTGATAGACTATAGATTTATTATATTTCTATAAAACAAACTGCAGTCTGTCACATGACCTCCGACCTCTGTCAGCTGTTGGAGTTTGATTCTTTGATTTTATTTTGGTGCTACAGTTCCCATCATTGCTTTGTGTTAATGTTTGCACTGTAACCATGGAAACAGCCTGTTTAATAGACAGTTAATTACATCAGTGTGATTAACATGGTGTGTTCAGGGACTGGACAGAGGGTGGGTCAGCTGAGGTTTGACATCCTGAGTATATAGTGACAATTAATAATGAATAATCAATACATATTAATATAATAATTAATAATTAGTTTGACACTAAAAACATGCTGATGATTAAAAGTGACAACAACTAAAAACTGCTCATTAAAAAAATCATTCTTCATTATTTCATACCTGTAGATCAATGCTGCTGCTCCAGTTTAAACACTCATTTGTTAACAGTCACACTGGTAACAACAACTGGTCCAGCTAGAACCAGTTAGAACCTGCTAGAACCAGTTAGAACCAGCTAGAACCGGTAAGAACCGGCTAGAACCGGTAAGAACCGGCTAGAACCAGCTAGAACCAGTTAGAACCAGTTAGAACCTGCTAGAACCAGTTAGAACCAGCTAGAACCGGTTAGAACCAGTAAGAACCAGCTAGAACCAGTAAGAACCAGTTAGAACCAGCTAGAACCAGTAAGAACCAGCTAGAACCAGCTAGAACCAGTAAGAACCAGTTAGAACCAGTTAGAACCAGCTAGACTTATACAAGATTGCGACACATGTTGAGATTGTTTTAGACTGAAACTGAGGCAGAAAGTTACTGAGGAAACTAAACTAACTGAGAATAAACCCTCAGTGGTTCGGGGGCATGTGACTGGTGGAACTGTCCGAAAACCTAAAAACATCAAAGTGAAGATTAAAATCAGTCATGATGGAGCTGCCGTGTCTCCATGGTAACCAGTAAAAACAGCAGCAGAGAGTTCAGACTCCTCTTCATCTGTGGTTCACTCCTCCTCCTCCTCCTCCTCCTCCTCTCTCTCCCCCAGCAGGATACACAGCTCCGCCAGCCTCTGTTGCATCTTGGGAATTCCTGACAGCTGATTCTCCAGCCGCTGTTTCTCCTCCTGTGAGACAGGAAGCAGCGTCAGTGAGAGCGTTCACCTGCACAGGTAGCAGCCAATCGGCGTAGGAGCTGTCGGAGCATGCAGACTGAGCACGCTCAGTAGAGACTTCTAACTTCCTGTTTACCCATGGTTAAGCTGACAGGAGACTGTCTAACAGACCATAACCCCGACCCCCCAGAAAGAGCCGTAGAGGTCAGACTGTGGAACTACAGCGATGGCGTCCGTCACGGGTCCAAAAAGACTTTTTCCCATAATACACTGAGAAAGGCTGTAAACTGGTGGATAATTATTTTTAATGAAATTACTGATTTCAATGTTTCATCCATAAAGTCTGACAACAGTTTCAATTATTAATTATTGATCATTATCATCATCATCATCAGTCACTACTATTAGTGTAGTTGTTGCTGTGCACCTCTCTCTCTGTCTGTCTCTGTCTGTCTCTGTCTGTCTCTGTCTCTCAATTCAAATCAATTCAATTCAATTCAAATGGCTTTATTGGCGTGATGTAACACTGTACATATTGCCAAAGCAAGCGTTTGGAATTAAAAATAATAATAACAATAAAGGAAAACAATATTTACAATAAATGAATTATAATCTATACTGTTGGTAATACTGTAACTATGATTGACTCAATCACAATCACAATCAATCAATCTCAGTAAGTAATTAAATTAATTACAATCAATCAATCGATCAGTTTGTGTCAACTACAAATGTCATTAAAACAGTAGTAAAGTAACTACAGTTAAAACAAGTAGTCTGTTGTCAATATAACAGTAATTACAAATTATTAAATATAATATATAATATTAAAATATATTAAAATAAAAATAAAATAAATAGATAAAACTGTAAACGTGTGTGTGTGTGTGTGTGTGTGTGTGTGTGTGTGTGTGTGTATATTAAAAAACAACAAAAACAATGAATTATTTTATACATTTACAGAGTTTCCACTGGTTGTCCTCAGTTCGTGGCATGAGGAGACATATTTTGCTGCAATAATTTGACTTTTAGGCATTTCTCCCAGTAAATAGGGGAGTTTCTGTGTGTCTGATAATAATTCGAATTCGGGGTATATTTGGGAAATGTTTGGGAATTGTTTTTCTCTTAAAGTTTTGAATTTAGGGCATGAGGTTAGAAAGTGCAGCTCTGTCTCTACCTGTCCTCTGTCACACTGGGAGCAGAGTCTCTCCTCTTCTGGTAGCCAGTTCTGTCTGTGGCGACCCGTTTCTATGGCCAGGCTGTGTTCACTTAACCCTAACCCTAACCCTCTCTCTCGCTCTCTCTCTCTCTCTCTCTCTGTCTCTCACAGTGGTCTCTGTGGACCACTGAGCATGCTCAGTATGGATTATAATGAACAGAGCTCTGTATAGAGCTGAATAATGCGTCACTGTGATCTGTGGACTGCGTCCCATCAGTAAGTGTCACTGGTGACAGTGTTCCTGTTTATATGTGCCACAGGCGGCAGAGCGAAGACAGGAAGTGATGAGCAGAGACTCTACTGTAAACAGGAAGTGTTGTTGTTTATTTCTGACCTGCAGAGACAGACGAGTGGAGGCGTCCAGCGGCTCGAACCTCCATCCTCCCTCTCCGTCAAACTGCAGCAGGTGAGAGTGGTACTTCCTGTTGGAGAGAGACAGGAAGCTTCAGGGTGGAGCAGCTGTGAGATCAGCTCAGAGCTCTGCTGCTCCCTGTAGGCTGCACACAGCACTGCATCAATGTGGGGACATACAGAGATCAATACTGATCACAGATCAATCAATATATAGTACAACACTGCTGTTGTGTGTGTGTGTGTGTGTGTGTGTGTGTGTGTGTGTGTGTGTGCGCTCACTGACCACAGGGAGGGTCTGTGTGTGATTGACAGCAAGGCTATCCCAGCATCCTTTGCAGCCTGAAAGATGTTTCCCTCCACGTCGATGCTGACGGCACTTGTACACTCGTCCAACAGAGCATAACGAGGGCTGGGCGAGAGACATTCACACAGACAGAGAGAGATAGACAAACAGCCAGAGAGAGAGAGAGACAGAGAGAGAGACAGACAGACAGACAGAGAGAGACAGAGAGAGAGAGAGAGAGAGACAGAGAGAGAGAGAGACACAGACACACAGACAGACAGACAGACAGACAGACAGAGAGAGAGAGAATCTTATATATAGTTGAAAATTAACAAAAAGATTATTTGTACTGAGCAACATGTCTACATGTGTGCCATCTATATACCTCCATCAGAATCCCCCTACTACAACCCAGATATTTTCTCTGTTCTTGAGGAAGAAATTAACCATTATAAAACCATGGGAAATGTATTACTCTGTGGGGACTTGAACGCTCGAACAGGGGAAAGAGCTGACACTATGAACACCCAGGGAGACACTTACACTTACCTGGAAGCACCTGCTTCCCCCTCCCTGAATGTCCTACTAGAAAGAGCTTTGACAAGCTTACTAATACAAGTGGTATGCAGCTTTTACAGCTCTGCTGTACACTGGGTCTGTACATAGTCAACGGCAGGCTACGAGGGGACTCTCTGGGTCGCTACACTTACAGCTCAGCTCTTGGCAGTAGTAAGGTAGATTATTTCATTACAGATCTAGATCCAATGTCTCTCAGAGCTTTCACAGTCAGCCCCCTCACACCCCTCTCAGACCACAGCAAAATCACAATCTATCTGAAAAGGGCCCAGTCTAACTCTGGAGCCCCTAGTGCCTGTGAACTGTTTAACAGCACATACTCATACAGATGGACCCCTGACAGCATGGGGGCGTACCAAAAGGCACTGGAAAATCAAAACATATATGATTTAACTCATTTATTTCTAACCGAATCATTTCCCCACAATAATTCTGGTGTAAATTCTGCTGTGGACAAAATCAATTCAATTTTTCCTCATTTGGCTCTATTGTCTAATTTGAAAGCCTCCAAACCAAAATCTCAACAAATGAACAATAACAAATGGTTTGACACTGAATGCAAAAACCTAAGGAAAACTTTAAGGAAATTATCAAATGAAAAGCATAGAGACCCAGATAACCACAACATACGCTGTCAATATGAGGCCACTCTGAAACAATACAAGTACACCCTAAAAACAAGGAAAGAAAAACACAGCAAGAACCAGCTCTGTGAAATTGAGGAATCCCTCGAATCCAACCAGTTCTGGGAGAAATGGAACAACCTAAACAAAACCCAGCAGGATGAATTGGCGATCCAAGATGGAAATACTTGGATTAATCACTTTAGTGAATTATAAAGTAATATTACAAAAGATTATGATCAGTACAAGATATTCACAAAATGGAAAACTCTGGAGGCGGTGATAAAATCCAACCAAAACCCTCTAGATTACCCAGTAACAGAACAAGAATTAACAGAAGTCATCCAGTCCCTGAAAGGAAAAAAGCCTTGTGGAATCGATGGAATCCTCAACAAAATGATCAAATACTCAGACCATAAAATCAGATTGGCTATACTAAAACTATTCAATACTATTCTGTCAACTGGAGCTTTTCCAGACATCTGGAACAAAGGTTTAATAACCCCAATTCATAAATCCGGAAATAAATATGATCCAAATAACTACAGAGGAATATGTGTCTCCATCATTAATAAACGACTTGTCAACTTTCTTGATGACCACAATATTCTGCATAAATGCCAAATTGGCTTCTTGCCAAATTGCCGCACAACGGACCATATATGTACCCTCCAGACTTTAATTGATCAAGAATTAAAAATTAAGAAAAGAAAGGTATATGCATGTTTTGTTAACTTCAAAAAAGCCTTTGATTCCATCTGGCACGAGGGCCTTTTCTATAGGCTACTTGAAAGTGGCATTGGAGGAAAAACATATGATCTGATTAAGAACATGTATACAAAAAGTGAATGTGCTGTAAAGATTGGAAACAAACAAACAGCGTTCTTCTCCCAGGGCCGGGGAGTGAGGCAGGGATGCAATCTCAGTCCAGTTCTCTTCAATCTATACATCAATAAATTAGCGAATCAACTAGAGCGTTCCACGGCACCTGGCCTCACCCTGAACGACACAGAGATCAGAGGTCTGCTGTATGCAGATGACTTAGTGTTGCTCTCACCTACTAAAGACGGTTTGCAGCAGCACCTTAATCTCCTGCAGAGATTTTGTCAGACCTGGGCCCTGACAGTAAACACAGCAAAGACTAAGATAATGATCTTTCAGAAACAATACAGAAATCAGGTTACACACAATTTCTATTTAGACACCACTAAATTACAACATACAAAAAACTACACTTACCTTGGCCTCAACATTACATACACAGGAAACCTCAACATGGCTGTGAAAGATCTGAGGGACAAAGCAAGGAGAGCTTTCTATGCAATAAAGAGAAACATTCAAATCTATATTCCAATCGAAATCTGGCTTAAAATTTTCCAATTTGTACTAGAACCAATAATTCTATATGGCAGCAAAATTTGGGGACCAAAACTAAATAATACATTTGACAAATGGGACAAAACAATCATAGAATCTTTCCACAGCGAGTTCTGTAAGAGCATCCTGCAGGTGCAGAGAAAAACACCAAATAATCTGTGCAGAGCAGAGCTCGGCCAATACCCCCTCCTACTAAAAATACAGAAAAGATCAATTACATTTTACAATCACTTAAAATCAGTTAACCCCCAGAAGGGGTGTAACGGTACACACAAGTCACGGTTCGGTACGTACCTCGGTATGGGGGTCATGGTTCGGTACGGGTTCGGTACAAGGGTAAAAAAAATGTAAAAATCACATATAAAAGACTAGCTTTTTTTCATTTATTTTGAACAGACACCAATTGACTGCAAAATAAAAAACAATCTCCTGTTATAAAAGTAAAAAATAAATAGAATAAAACATATAACAAATGTATTAGGAGGGTTCAGATAGACTGAGGTAGTCAGGTAGCACTTCTTGCCAACTGGCAACTTTGGTTACATCATTATAAGAACAGCATATGGGCGCATAGATGTTGATATGTATACGCCAATTGCTTCTGTGATGTTTTTGGCCCTGTCAGTGTTAATGTCAAGAGGTGGCTTAAAAGCAGCAGGGATAAGTTGTTGCACCAGTGACAGATATGTTGGGGTGATGCCGTCTTATGTGGGTTAGCATGTTTGAGGTGTTGCCAGCAAGATACTGCACCTCCGTGAAACATCGCCGGCAGAAAGTCTTTGTCCAGTCCATCACTCGCGTGTTATCACCATTATATTGTACTGGGAAGCCAAAGTGCTCCAAACAGCTGATTTAAATGAAGCCGGCGGCTCCTCCAACTCCACACTTTCCATCACTTTTCTTATTCGTTCTTTTTTGTAACTACTACTTCTTCTTCTGTAATGACTGTTTCTGGCAGCTTTTAGGCTCATTACCGCCACCTGGATTAAAGTGAGGACTCAATTTTTTTATAAACTCACTCAGACGTATTCGTCGTATGACTGCGTGCACCGAACTGTGACGCCCGTACCATGACAGTTCGGGACGAATACAAGTACCGTTACACCCCTAACCCCCAGACATACCATCACAAAGCCCTAACATACCAGGAGCTGAAACCAGAGAAGAGTCCCCTCAGCCAGCTGGTCCTGAGGCTCTCTGCAGTAACATGTCCCCAACAGCCTCAGGACAGCAACACCAACTCAATCAGACCAAACCAAATTATCAACAAGCAAAAAGAAAAATATATTGAATACTGGAAAGAAATGACCAAATCACAAAGTAAATTACAATGTTATCTGACCTTAAAAAGATAATTCACACTGGCAAATTACCTGATCACAATAAAATGTCCTAAATTAAGAAAAATGCTGACAATGTACAGACTGAGTGAACACAGCCTGGCCATAGAAACGGGTCGCCACAGACAGAACTGGCTACCAGAAGAGGAGAGACTCTGCTCCCAGTGTGACAGAGGACAGGTAGAGACAGAGCTGCACTTTCTAACCTCATGCCCTAAATTCAAAACTTTAAGAGAAAAACAATTCGCAAACATTTCCCAAATATACCCCGAATTCGAATTTATATCAGACTCACAGAAACTCCCCTATTTACTGGGAGAAATGCCCAAAAGTCAAATTATTACAGCAAAATATGTCTCCTCATGCCACGAACTGAGGACAACCAGTGGAAACTCAGATAAATGTATAAAATATTTTTTTTTCTCTTCTTCTTTGTTATTACTGTTATATTGACAACAGAATACTTGTTTTAACTGTAGTTACTTTACTACTGTTTTAATGACATTTTTAGTTGACACAAACTGATTGATTGATTGATTGATTGTAATTAATTACTTATTGACTGAGATTGATTGATTGTGACTGTGATTGTGTTTGAGTCAATCATAGTTACAGTATTACCAACAGTATAGATTATAATTCATTTATTGTAAATATTGTTTTTCTTTATTGTTATTATTATTATTTTTAATTCCAAACGCTTGCTTTGACAATATGTACAGTGTTACGTCACGCCAATAAAGCCATTTGAATTGAATTGAATTGAGAGAGACAGTTAGCAGTTAGCAGCCAGCAGTTAGCAGCCAGCATTTAGAAGGCAGAAGGTAGCAGGAAGCAGTTAGCAGCCAGCAGTTAGCAGCCAGCATTTAGAAGGCAGAAGGTAGCAGGAAGCAGTTAGCAGTGAGCAGGTAGCAGTTAGCAGTTAGCAGGTAGCAGTCAGCACGTAGCAGTCAGCAATTAGCAGGTAGCAGTTAGCAGGTAGCAGTTAGTAGTTAGCAGGTAGCAGTTAGCAGGTAGCAGTCAGCACGTAGCAGTCAGCAATTAGCAGGTAGCAGTTAGCAGGTAGCAGTTAGTAGTTAGCAGGTAGCAGGTAGCAGTTAGCAGGTAGCAGTCAGCACGTAGCAGTCAGCAATTACAGGTAGCAGTTAGCAGTTAGCAGTCAGCAGGTAGCAGTCAGCAGTAAATATTTACCAGTGGTAGAACATGCGAGCCATTCCCATCCTCTGTTTCTCTCCTCCAGACAGAACGTCTTTCCAGTCACTGACCGCCTCCCAACCTGACAGACAAACACAGTACAACATGTAATAGTCTGTGTATTTATACTGCTTTTAATGCATGATAATGATCATAAGATCAAGTATTTGGATATTTTATGTCGGTATATTACAGAACTGCAGTAAAAGTAATTCTGATTCAAGGATATTTTATTGTCCTTCACAACAACGTTGTTTATTTTAAAATCCTAAAGAAAGACACTGACCTCCCTCTCGGTCCAGGATGTAGAGCAGGTGGACCGTCCGAAGGATCTCTTCCAGATCTGAATCTGTGATTCCTCGCTGAACCATCTCCTCCACAGAATCTGGATAGATCACCTGGTCTCTAAGGGTCCCCTCTGACATGTAGGGCCTGTACAGTACACAGTACAACATCACTACTACAGTACCACTACAGTACAACATCACTACAACAGTACCACTACAGTACAACATCACTACTACAGTACCACTACAGTACAACATCCCTACTACAGTACCACTACAGTACAACATCACTACTACAGTACCACTACAGTACAACATCACTACTACAGTACCACTACAGTACAACATCCCTACTACAGTACCACTACAGTACAACATCACTACTACAGTACAACATCCCTACTACAGTACAACATCCCTACTACAGTACAACATCACTACTACAGTACAACATCACTACTACGGTACCACTACAGTACAACATCCCTACTACAGTACAACATCACTACTACAGTACAACATCCCTACTACAGTACAACATCACTACTACAGTACAACATCACTACTACAGTACCACTACAGTACAACATCCCTACTACAGTACAACATCACTACTACAGTACCACTACAGTACAACATCCCTACGACAGTACCACTACAGTACAACATCACTACTACAGTACCACTACAGTACAACATCCCTACTACAGTACAACATCACCACTACAGTACAACATCCCTACTACAGTACAACATCACTACTACAGTACAACATCACTACTACAGTACCACTACAGTACAACATCCCTACTACAGTACAACATCACTACTACAGTACAACATCACTACTACAGTACCACTACAGTACAACATCCCTACTACAGTACAACATCACTACTACAGTACCACTACAGTACATCATCCCTACAGTCCACTACAGTACAACATCACTACTACAGTACCACTACAGTACAACATCCCTACTACAGTACAACATCCCTACTACAGTACATCACTACTACAGTACCACTACAGTACATCACTACTACAGTACCACTACAGTACATCATCCCTACGACAGTACCACTACAGTACAACATCCCTACTACAGTACAACATCACCACTACAGTACAACATCCCTACTACAGTACAACATCACTACTACAGTACAACTTCACTACTACAGTACCACTACAGTACAACATCCCTACTACAGTACAACATCACTACTACAGTACAACATCACTACTACAGTACCACTACAGTACAACATCCCTACTACAGTACAACATCACTACTACAGTACCACTACAGTACAACATCCCTACTACAGTACAACATCACTACTACAGTACCACTACAGTACAACATCCCTACGACAGTACCACTACAGTACAACATCACTACTACAGTACCACTACAGTACAACATCCCTACTACAGTACAACATCACCACTACAGTACAACATCCCTACTACAGTACAACATCACTACTACAGTACAACATCACTACTACAGTACCACTACAGTACAACATCCCTACTACAGTACAACATCACTACTACAGTACCACTACAGTACATCATCCCTACGACAGTACCACTACAGTACAACATCACTACTACAGTACCACTACAGTACAACATCCCTACTACAGTACAACATCCCTACTACAGTACATCATTACTACAGTACCACTACAGTACATCATCCCTACGACAGTACCACTACAGTACAACATCACTACTACAGTACCACTACAGTACAACATCCCTACTACAGTACAACATCACCACTACAGTACAACATCCCTACTACAGTACAACATCACTACTACAGTACAACTTCACTACTACAGTACAACATCCCTACTACAGTACATCACTACTACAGTACCACTACAGTACATCATCCCTACGACAGTACCACTACAGTACAACATCACTACTACAGTACCACTACAGTACAACATCCCTACTACAGTACAACATCACCACTACAGTACAACATTCCTACTACAGTACAACATCACTACTACAGTACAACTTCACTACTACAGTACCACTACAGTACAACATCCCTACTACAGTACAACATCACTACTACAGTACCACTACAGTACAACATCCCTACTACAGTACAACATCACTACTACAGTACAACATCACTACTACAGTACCACTACAGTACAACATCCCTACTACAGTACAACATCCCTACTACAGTACAACATCACTACTACAGTACCACTACAGTACAACATCCCTACTACAGTACAACATCACTACTACAGTACCACTACAGTACAACATCCCTACTACAGTACAACATCACTACTACAGTACCACTACAGTACAACATCCCTACGACAGTACCACTACAGTACAACATCACTACTACAGTACCACTACAGTACAACATCCCTACTACAGTACAACATCACCACTACAGTACAACATCCCTACTATAGTACAACATCACTACTACAGTACAACATCACTACTACAGTACCACTACAGTACAACATCCCTACTACAGTACAACATCACTACTACAGTACCACTACAGTACATCATCCCTACGACAGTACCACTACAGTACAACATCACTACTACAGTACCACTACAGTACAACATCCCTACTACAGTACAACATCCCTACTACAGTACAACATCACTACTACAGTACCACTACAGTACATCATCCCTACGACAGTACCACTACAGTACAACATCACTACTACAGTACCACTACAGTACAACATCCCTACTACAGTACACATCACTACTACAGTACAACATCCCTACTACAGTACAACATCACTACTACAGTCCCACTACAGTACAACATCACTACTACAGTACCACTACAGTACAACATCCCTACTACAGTACAACATCACTACTACAGTACAACATCACTACTACAGTACCACTACAGTACAACATCCCTACTACAGTACAACATCACTACTACAGTACCACTACAGTACAACATCCCTACTACAGTACAACATCACTACTACAGTACCACTACAGTACAACATCCCTACTACAGTACAACATCACTACTACAGTACAACATCACTACTACAGTACCACTACAGTACAACATCCCTACTACAATACAACATCACTACTACAGTACCACTACAGTACAACATCCCTACTACAGTACAACATCACTACTACAGTACCACTACAGTACAACATCCCTACTACAGTACAACATCCCTACTACAGTACATCACTACTACAGTACCACTACAGTACAACATCCCTACTACAGTACAACATCACTACTACAGAACAACATCACTACTACAGTACCACTACAGTACAACATCCCTACTACAGTACAACATCACTACTACAGTACCACTACAGTACAACATCCCTACTACAGTACAACATCACTACTACAGTACCACGTACAGTACAACATCCCCACTACAGTACAACATCCCTACTACAGTACAACATCACTACTACAGTACCACTACAGTACAACATCCCTACTACAGTACAACATCCCTACTACAGTACAACATCACTACTACAGTACCAGTACAGTACAACATCCCTACTACAGTACAACATCACTACTACAGTACCACTACAGTACAACATCACTACTACAGTACAACATCCCTACTACAGTACAACATCACTACTACAGTACCACTACAGTACAACATCCCTACTACAGTACAACATCACTACTACAGTACAACATCACTACTACAGTACCACTACAGTACAACATCCCTACTACAGTACAACATCCCTACTACAGTACAACATCACTACTACAGTACCACTACAGTACAACATTCCTACTACAGTACAACATCACTACTACAGTACCACTACAGTACAACATCCCTACTACAGTACAACATCACTACTACAGTATCACTACAGTACAACATCCCTACTACAGTACAACACCACTACTACAGTACCACTACAGTACAACATCACTACTACAGTACTCTCCTGTGGAACCAGCTTCCAGTTGTGGTTCGGGAGGCAGACACCCTCTCCAAATTTAAGAGTAGGCTTAAGACATTCCTCTTTGATAAAGCTTATAGTTAGGGCTGGATCAGGTGAGTCCTGAACCATCCCTTAGTTATGCTGCTATAGGCCTAGACTATCGGGGGATTTCCCATGAAGCACTGAGCTCCTCTCTTCCTCTCTCTTTCTGCACTCATTCATGTTCCATTAATGCATGTTACTAACTTCACTTCTTCCCCGGAGTTCTTGTGCTTTCTCGTCTCGCAGGTTCTTATCGATCCTGGTGGAGCCTCCTGCCATGGTCCTGCTAGATTGCCATTACCAATACTGTTGTTGCTGTGCACCTGTCTGTCTGTCTGTCTGTCTGTCTGTCTCTCTCTCTCTCTCTCTCTCTCTCTCTCACCCCAACTGGTCGAGACAGACGACCACCCACCTAGAGCCGAAGGATCTGTCCTAGGTTTCTGCCTTTTAACAGGCAGTTTTTCCTTGCCCTTGTCGCCAGGTGCTTGCTCATGGTGGTACTGTTGGGTCTCTGTAATTAATGTTATAAGGAGTTCTGTCTTGAGCTGCCCTATCTGAAAAGTGTCCTGAGATAACTTCTGTTATGAATTGGCGCTATACAAATAAAATTGAATTGAATTGAATTGAATAGCATTAGTAGTAGTAGTAATAGCATCAGTAGTAGTAGTAGTAGTAGTAGCAGTAGCAGTAGCAGTAGCAGTAGTAGTAGTAGTAGCAGTAGTAGTAGTGACAGTAGCAGTAGTAGTAGTAGTAGCAGTAGCAGTAGTAGTAGTAGTAGCAGTAGCAGTAGTAGTAGTAGTAGCAGTAGCAGTAGTAGTAGTAGTAGCAGTAGCAGTAGTAGTAGTAGTAGCAGTAGTAGTAGTGACAGTAGCAGTAGTAGTAGTAGTAGCAGTAGTAGTAGACGGTAGCAGTAGCAGTAGTAGTAGCAGTAGCAGTAGCAGTAGTAGTAGTAGTGGCAGCGGAGCGCGCAGCAGTAGCAGTGGTAGCAGTAGTAGTAGTGACAGTAGCAGTAGTAGCAGAGTAGCAGCAGCAGCAGCAGCAGTAGCAGCAGCAGCAGCAGCAGCAGTAGTGGTAGTAGTAGCAGTAGCGGTAGAGTGGTAGCAGTAGTGGCAGTGTAGTGTGCAGTGGCAGTAGTAGTAGTAGCAGCAGCAGCAGCATGGTAGTAGTAGCAGCAGCAGTAGTAGTGACAGCAGCAGCAGTAGTAGTAGCAGCAGCAGCAGCAGCAGCAGCAGCAGCAGCAGCAGCAGCAGTAGCAGTAGCAGCAGCAGCAGCAGCAGCAGCAGCAGCAGCAGCAGCAGTAGCAGCAGCAGCAGCAGCAGCAGTAGTAGTAGCATCACTGGCAGCAGCAGCAGCAGCAGCAGCAGCAGCAGCAGCAGTAGCAGTAGCAGCAGCAGCAGCAGCAGCAGCAGCAGTAGCAGCATTACTGGTAGCAGCAGTAGTAGCAGCAGTAGTATGACAGTAGCAGTAGTAGTAGTAGCATTACTGGTGGCAGCAGTAGTAGCAGTAGAGAGTGCAGTAGCAGTAGTAGTAGTAGTAGCAGTAGCAGTAGCAGTAGTAGTAGTAGTAGCAGTAGTAGTAGTAGTAGCAGTAGTAGTAGCAGTAGTAGTAGTAGCAGTAGCAGTAGTAGTAGTAGCATTACTGGTAGCAGTAGTAGTAGCAGTAGTAGAAGTGACAGTAGCAGTAGTAGTAGTAGTAGCAGTAGTAATAGTAGCATTAGCAGTAGCAGTAGTAGTAGCATTAGTAGTAGTACCTCTGTGGTATGTAGAACATGTGCTGAGGTTCTGGACGGTACAGTATTCCTCCATAAACAGGCCACAGTCCACTGAGGATCCTGAACAGAGAACTCTTCCCGCAGCCGTTTGGACCCGTGATCAATACATTCATCCCCTCATCAACCTACAGACAGACAGACAGACAGACAGACAGACAACTGAAATTTAAGAGAAACTGACTCATTGATTAAACAGGATAAAACCTGATCAGAATCTTAAAGAGCTCAGTAGCGATGGACTGTACTTACACAGTGCCTTTCTAGTCTTTCGACCACTCAACATGTTGTATGCTACCACACTCAATCAGCCACACTCATGTATACACTAAGTTGGGGTTCAGGTCTTGCTCAAGGACACGAGAGGGACAGGGAACGGCCAACCTTATGATTGGTGGACGATCCGCTCTACCTCTGCCCCAATCAAACACTTTACATTAAAATGGAACTTGTATAGACTCCACTGAACTCTTAAGGTGGTAACAGTTAAGAAACAGGAATAAATGTTGCTGTTACCTTCCAGAATATCAATATGCAACAGATATATGGAGCTTATCTATACATATCTCCATCAATTTATAGTATGTACACAGTATCTCCAACCTGTCCCAAATGAGAACTAATTACTGGAACCAGCTCACATTGCTTTTGAGAGAAACTGATCAATATAAAGAAATAAGCAACAAAACTCATTCATACTAGGAGGAGTACACAAAGAAACAGCTGAACTTATCTTAATGTGGGCTGTAGGACGGCTGTAGTGAGAGTGGGGGCGATCAATAGTGGAAATCTCTGATATCTGCTGTTGGTGGAGAACTCGTTTTGTAAGAAAACGAGAACGCTGTGTGTGAACCGATAATAAAAATACTCTGTATGTGGCACAATATTAAAAAAGTCCAGATTTTCTAGCTGTGATGTTTTTAGGCATTAATCTGCAGGAGGGAGTGAATATTGCAAAAATACTTGAGATGTTTTTGTATAATTCATTAAAAATCAAAGACAACCTGTTCCAGAGAGAATAACATCTGATTGCAGGATCAATGTGAGATGCCTGCACCTTCATAGCCAGAAACCAGGAAGCGAGTCAGGTTTGTACAAGACACTAATGTGACTGTGACTGGATGAAACTGTATAATTCACTGTGACTGGATGAAACTGTGTTGATTGTTGAAACATCCAGTCCGTCCACTGACTGCTGGATGCCCTTCAGTCATGTAATCAGCTCCCTTTGCTGAAGAAGACCATGAGCTATAGTTAAAAGGTCTGAGAATAATTAAGTAAGTGGACCTTGAGTTTAGAATATTTTATATTATAGATATCTGTCCCAAATTTTGTACAAAGTGAAGGACTTCTATTGTATTTATCCTGACAGATTAATATCACATTATTATACTATACTATCAGATAATGAATAATACGTTCATAACTGTGTATCTATGTATTAAAAGTGCATTAATATCTCTATATATTAATATTTCTATACATTAATCAATAACCTCTGTCTATATGAATATGTGTGTAATGCTGTGAACTGACTGCAGAAGCTGAAATCTTCCTCAAAAGCACAATCTGAGCAAGCAGACCAATCACAGAGAGCAGAGGTCAAAGGTCGGAATCAGACGACAGAGAGGACTTTCTGTTTCCATCAATGTTCTTCTACGTTGTGTTTCCGTCTCTTCCTCAGGAGAAATGTCACTCTATAATCCCTCTATTGTGAGTCAGTGAATGCTAATGAGCTCTGCTCTGACCTTTGACCTCTGACACAGCGAGACAACAGCTCAAAGAATGAGAGGAGAATAAAAGATTAAAGAGTTCACTGAGCGTGCTCAGTAGTGACATCATGTCCATCCTATGTGAGCAGGAAGCTCAGGGTGGAACAAATAAGGATTATTGATTGTTATAGTTTAATATTAGTTTGTATGATAAAATATAGAACATTGATCATGATGAGAACATGTGCTGATGTTCACTGGAACCACACTGACACCATGTGGTCACTCTCACACACTGCAGTCTGAAGGAACATCTAATATTTATAATATATTTATAATCAACATTAACAACCACCATTCAGGAAGAGAAGAAGACAGAAATAATAATATTCTGTTGGTGACGTTTTATTGATCAATATCATCAATATACACTTTTAGACATATTACATTTATGGCCAAAGGTTGTGAGCAAAGTGTGTGTGTGTTACTGTGTGTTACTGTGTGTGTGTGTGTGTGTCTTACTGTGTGTTACTGTGTGTGTGTGTGTTACTGTTTGTGTGTGTGTGTGTGTGTGTGGGCGTGTGTGTGAGTGTGTGTGTGTGTGTGTGTGTGTGTGTGTGTGTGTGTGTGTGTGTGTGTGCGCATGTGTGTGCGTGTGTGCGTGTGTGTGTGTGTTACTGTGTGTGTCTTACCTGGATATTGAGGCTGGAAACCACAACGTCTCCGGTCGGTGTGATTATTGGCAGGTTCTCACAGCGAATCATCTTCTCCACACTGATCACATGACCTGCACACAGTAACACACACTAACACACACAGTAACACAAAAAGTAACACACGCACACACACACACTATGTATATATATGTACGATAAACACTTCAGTGACCAGAGTTTTATTTGCTTCAGTCCCTGAACACAACCGCTGTATGGGACCTGTAGCCACAGCAGGTTAGTAAAGGAGACCTCTCTACTTGAGATCCTGCTTTAATTAAACTTACATACACTGTATCACTATATCACTATATCACTGTATCACTATATGACTATATCACTATATCACTGTATCACTTTATCACTGTATCACTATATGACATCACTATATCACTATATCACTATATCACTATCACTTTATCACTGTATCACTATATGACTATATCACTATATCACTGTATCACTATATGACTATATCACTATATGACCATATCACTATATCACTGTATCACTTTATCACTGTATCACTATATGACATCACTATATCACTGTATCACTATATCACTATATCACTGTGTCACTATATGACTATATCACTATATGACCATATCACTATATCCCTATACCACTGTATCACTATATGACTGTATCACTATTTCTGTATCAAGTTTAGTCCCTAAATCAGATAAAGTAATTATTGTAGGTGATTTTAATATTCATGTGGATGTTAACAATGACAGCCTTAGTAATGCATTTATATCATTAATAGACTCAATTAGCTTCTGTCAGAGTGTAAATAAACCAACTCATTGTTTTAATCACACTCTCAACCTCTTTCTATCATATGGCATTGATATTGAACATTTAATAGTCTTCCCACATAATCCTTTTCTATCTGACCATTATTTAATATCTTTTGAATTCATATTATTAGATTATAGGCCATTAGGCAAAACTTCCTACAGCAGATGTCTATCTGACAGTGCTGTAGCTAAATTTAAGGAGGAGATTCCATCAGTGTTTTATTTGCCTACGAGGAACGTGACCTGGTGCAGTTGGTGCATAAAATATACACATATACAAATACAAATATACAAATATACAATTATTCAAATCACACAAAAATCACACAGAAAATAAATAGATAAAGATAAGAAGAGAAAGAGAAAGCTGTGCAGAAGAACGTGGGTGCATTAATGTAATGCATACTTTATATACAGGGTGGGTATAAGAGTCAATGACAGTGGGTAATCCGGGCCTTATTAAGGAGGCCAGCTGCAGACGGGAAGAAATTGTTTTTATGGCGAGACGTTTTAGTCCTGATGGACCGCAGCCTCCTGCAAGAGGGAAGTATCTCAAAGAGATTGTGACCGGGGTGGGAGGGGTCAGCCACAATCTTACCTGCACGCTTCCTGGTCCTAGAGACGTACAGGTCCTGGATGGATGGCAGATTGCAGCCGATCACCTTCTCAGCTGATCGAATGATACGCTGCAGTCTGCCCTTGTCCTTGGCAGTGGCCGCAGCGTACCAGATGGTGATGGATGAGGTGAGGATGGACTCAATGATGGCAGTGTAGAAGTGCACCATCATTATCTTTGGCAGGTTGAACTTCTTCAGCTGCCGCAGGAAGTACATCCTCTGCTGGGCTTTCTTAGAGAGGGAGCTGATGTTCAGCTCCCACTTGAGGTCCTGGGTGATAATGCTACCCAGAAAGCGGAAGGACTCCACAGAGTCAACTGGGGAGTCACACAGGATGATGGGGGTGGGTGGGGCTGGGTTCTTCCTAAAGTCCACAACCATCTCCACTGTTTTTAGAGCGTTTAGCTCCAGGTTGTTCTGGCTGCACCAGGTCACCAGATGGTCAATCTCCCATCTGTAGGCAGACTCATCTCCACCAGAGATGAGCCCAATGAGGGAGGTGCCATCCGCAAACTCCAGGAGCCTGACGGACTGGTGACTGGAGGTGCAGGTGTTAGTATACAGGGAGAAGAGCAGAGGAGAAAGAACGCAGCCCTGAGGGGATCCAGTGCTGATGGTCTGGGAGTCAGAGACATTTTTCCCCAGCTTCACGTGCTGTTTCCTGTCAGACAGGAAGTCTGTGATCCACCTGCAGGTGGAGTCAGGCACAGTGAGCTGGGAGAGCTTGTCCTGTAGCAGAGCAGGGATGATAGTGTTAAACGCAGAGCTGAAGTCCACAAACAGGATCCTGGTGTAGGTTCCTGGGGAGTCCAGATGCTGGAGGGTGAAGTGCAGGGCCATGTTTACTGCGTCGTCCACAGACCTGTTGGCTCTGTAGGCGAACTGCAGGGGGTCCATGAGAGGGTCCGTTATGGCTTTCAGACGGGAGAGCACAAGACACTCAAAAGACTTCATGACCACAGAGGTGAGGGCAACCGGTCTGTAGTCAGTCTGGTGAGGTGGGGCTGGTGAGGGGTGTCATGGGGGAAGGTGTCAGGACTGCTCCTTTGTCTGTCGAAGCGGCAGTAGAACTCATTCAGCTAGTTTGCCAGGCGCAAATCATTGATGGAGTGGGGGGTTTCAGGCTTGTAGTTAGTTATCTGTCTGAGCCCCTTCCAGACAGAACCAGAGTCATTGGCTGAGAACTGATGTTGAAGTTTCTCAGAGTACTGTCGTTCAGCTTCTCTCACCGCCTTGCTAAACTTGTACTTTGACTCCTTAAACTTGTCCCTGTCCCCACTCCTTAACACTTGCTCCTTCTGCAACCGTAGCTGAATGAGTTTGGGTAAAAAACAAGGTTTGTTTTTTTTTGGGGGGGTGGGGCAGAAGAGAAAGAAGTCCCCAAAAAGGAGGGGGGGTGTTGGCCCCCCCCCCCTCAAAAAAAAAAAAAAAAAAAAAAAAAAAAAAAAAAAAAACGGGGGGGGGAATGAATGTTAGTTTCTGCAGGACTTTGCCAACCTGGTGAATGTGTCTGAAAGGGTGAATGTTTGGCTGTGTGAAACCAGGGTTTAAAGGTGGTCAGTTATTTGTAACTCACCCTGGTGCGTGATGGTACACAGCAATTCAATTCAATTCAATTCAATTTTATTTGTATAGCGCCAATTCATAACAGAAATTATCTCAGGACACTTTTCAAACAGAGTAGGTCTAGACCGAACTCTTTAAAACATTATTTACAGAGACCCAAACAGTACCACCATGAGCAAGCACTTGGCGACAAGGGCAAGGAAAAACTGCCTGTTAAAAGGCAGAAACCTAGGACAGATCCTTCAGCTCTAGGTGGGTGGTCATCTGCCTCGACCAGTTGGGGTGAAAGAGAGAGAGAGAAAGAGAGAGAGAGAGAGACAGAGAGAGAGACAGACAGACAGGTGCACAGCAACAACAGTATTGGCAATAGCAATCTAGCAGGAGCAGTCCTCACAGAAGCTGATATATGATGTCACAGCCTCTGTGTACTCATCCAGACTTTCAGTAGCAGTCCTGAACACATCCCAGTCAGTAGAGTCCAAACACGCCTGGAGATCCTCCACAGCTTCACTGGTCAACTGCTTTGATGTCCTCACAACAGGTTTGCAGAGCTTTAATTTCTGCCTGTATGAGGGAATCAGGTGGACCATGACGTGGTCGGAGAGGCCCAGTGCGGCGCGGGGTGATAAGCTTCGCTGACTGTAGTGTAACAGTGATCCAGTATATTCTTCTCTCTGGTCGGGCATTTAATAAACTGTTTATATTTTGGAAAATTCTTTTGTTAAAGTCACCAAGGACGATAACTAAAGAGTCCAGGTTAGTCCGCTCCACACACAGTATCTGGTCGCTGGCGCTGTGCCTCCTGCACGTTGGCCTGCGGTGGAATGTAAACACCGACCAGAATGAATGAAACAAACTCATGGGGGGAGTAAAAAGGTTTGTAGTTTATGATGAAATATTCCAGAGTAGAAGAGCAGTGCTGTTGGATCACTGTCACATCATTACACCAGCTACTGTCCACCCTTTTTTTTGCCGGAGAGTTCCGTGTCACGTTCCGCTCTGAAGACTTGGAAGCCTGCCAGCTGCAGCGCAGAGTCCGGTACCGATCCACACAGCCACGTCTCCGTGAAGCATAAAACAGAGGATGAAGAAAAGACAGTTTTTCCCCCAGAAGTAGCTGAAGTTCGTCCATTTTGTTGCACAGTGAGCGCACGTTAGAGAGGAATATTCCAGGTAACGGTGTGCAATGTCCACGCTGGCGGAGACGCACAAGTGCACCGGCAATGCCATGTCTAAATATAACAGAGTCCTATAATAACTTTAGTCCCTCCGAAATTGATAATCTTGGTGACAGTGCTGCTGGCTCACTGAGAAGAACATTAGATTCTATCGCTCCTATAACAAGGAAATTGTTAAAACTTAGGAAACTAGCACCGTGGTACAACCACCAAACCCGCCAGTTAAAGCAAATAGCTAGGAAATCTGAAAGGAAATGGCGCTCTTCGAAATTATTAATAATTAATATAATATCACTCAATTTGGCAAGATAATCTTAAAACCTATAGAAAGGCCCTCCGTAATGCCAGAGGAGCCTATTACTCAGCACTAATAGAAGAAAACAAGAATAACCCTAGGTTCCTCTTCAGCACTGTAGCCAGGCTGACAGAGAGCCACAGCTCTATTGAGCCACATATCCCCATAAACTTAAGTAGCAATGACTTTATGAGCTTCTTCCACAATAAAATTATTACTATCAGAGAGAAAATTAATCACCAACTGCCATCAACAGTTATCAGTGGCTCTCCAAGTTCAGGAACTTTAACTAATGTAAACTCAGATATATATTTAGTTTTTCTGCTATCGATCTTCATCAGTTAATTTCAATAATTTCAACATCAAAGCCATCAACCTGTCTTTTAGACCCGATCCCAACTAGGCTGCTTAAAGAAGTCGTACCCTTAATTGGCACTTCTTTACTAGATATGATCAATCTTCCTTTAGTATCAGGATATGTACCACAGTCCTTTAAAGTAGCTGTAATTAAACCCCTTCTTAAAAAGTCCACTCTTGACCCAGGGGTTTTAGCCAACTATAGACCGATTTCTAACCTCCCCTTCCTCTCTAAGATTCTGGAGAAAGTAGTCGCCA